ATATATATATATATATATATATATATATATATATATATATAGTACAAGGTTATGCAGATCAAGATCGTTATAATTGCACTACTTTAATATTGGCTCGAGGTTTATCGTTAAGCTCAACAATCTAACAGCGATAAGCGTGTTTTCACTTTTTGCGATAAAAGTGTGTGCCATCTGCTGTAAAAGTATCGTTTCGTAATCCCACGTGCCGAGATCTCCATGCGATTGCCGTCGGTATCACGATATCGTCGCTACGCGAATCCGAGTGTCCTATGAAAATTGCAGACGCTCGATAACAGATATTGTCTATACGCAGCGAGAGACAGCGCGCTCGCGTGTATATCGATCCGATTAATTTATTATATGGTCGTAAAATATTTATGGGACGATTCAATTAGCGTTCACGCTAAACTACCACGAGAACGGAGCGGACCTCGAACACACGACAATTTAATTCTGATGCCGAAAAGAGAAAAAAGAAAATTACTTCGTGCAAGATATCGTAGGGAATAATTAATAAAACATCGCCGAACGCTTGGCCATAAATAAAATACAGATATTCGTGCTTAGAATCCCGGTCGAGTCGCCGAAATCGTCGGACAGTACATCACTCCCCTCTCCCCCTATGATCGTAGCACAAAGAGGGTCGCGGCTGGAATCCTATTTTCCACATTCAAAGAAAACTCCGACACGTGTCGCTGTATATCATTCGTGTTCTTTGTCCCGTTGCGACGGCGGGTGCGTGTGTTAAGATTCGACGGTTCATACGCGAGATAAATCTAATCTCAAAGAAATTCTCCGTGTGTGTCATGGATAAACGAGATGGGATATACGGCTTAAATAAGAGAAATGTGTGCGGGAGATAGGGACGTCGGGGAGAAGGGACTGTAGCGAACGTACAAATATTTCTCTATTGCTACCGGATTTGCTACCGAGCTGATAAAACGATGGTCTCTGGACCATCGACGTCGCTTAAATCCCCCAGAAATGAGTCTCTGGATTGAGGAGATTGTAAGGAAAAAAAATTTGTCGGAAATTTACCGCAAAACTTGAATCAAAACAATGAATTCCTGACAACAGAAAAAAGAAACTTGCACTACATATAACTTGAGATATTACTTAATAGCTCGTGCAATTAGAGAAAGACTGACTATATTCGAGAGTTGAGATATTTGAAACTAAAGTTGACACGTGTTCTTTATGGTTAGCTTGACATTTCTAATTTCTACTTTTAATATTTATAAACTAAAATTCAGGTCTCAATTAAGAACTATTGTGTAATATTAAAATGATATTATCATGACGACATTATGCATAGGAAAAATATTCTGATGTATTGAGAAAAATTTAGTTAAATTAATCAAATGTCTTTCTCTGATGAAATATGAACGAATCAGAAATCTGGCTGAAGTTATTCAACTTCAGTTTAAGTTCACAAAATTTACCTTGTCAGCGTTGTGATTTTGAAATAAATTAAAACCAGCCTCTCAAGGTTCTTCGGCTTTAGAAAGAAGAAATCGATTTAATTCTCGGCAATAATACTACGGTAGGGCCATTTTTTGAACGATTGAGGTGCTCTTTTTTTGCCACGGCCATTAGACTGCGTGAAAATTTGTTCGGATCTCTCCCTTGCCGCTTTTGAGTTCGCCGTCCAATTCTCCGCATCAATCTCGGCGCGTTCATTAGCCCTAAGGGTTACAGCATCGCATGCTCCGCGGCCGTGATGTAAACACTCGCCATTCATTGCGTGCCGTTTTCCGAGTCAACCAACGCGAAGCCGACGGAATTAAAGCAAACATTTGCGTAGGCACGGAAAAGGAACTATATTACGATTACTACATCTGCCATACCCTCCTCCTCTCCTTTTCTCAATCTCTTTCTCTTATTACGAGGGAAAACGCGCGCGTACGAGAGAAAGAGAGAGAGAGAGAGAGAGAGAGAGAGAGAGAGAGAGAGAGAGAGAGAGAGAGAGAGAGAACAGAGAGCACAGAGAGTGAAGGAGGGTCAGGAGCAAGAGCTTTAAGGATCCGCGACGATAAGAGAAGCGGGAAGAAAGGGAGGCACCCCCGACGTGTTTCCGATGTTGCGAGAGCCACGAAGAGCCTTCGCCGAAAGCTTCCACGAAAGAGCGCCCTCGAGGGTGCAGCCCGAGAAAGGAAGGGCGTCGGTGTAATTGAAATTTCTTTCGGGGAAACCCCATCCCCTAACTCTCCCCCATCTCACCCCCTCGCCCTCCTACTCCTCGTCTTCCAGGTCCGCTTTTCGCGGCCGTTGCACCGCCGTCCACACATGCATGCACGCACGCACGCACGCACACATACATTCCCGCACCCATCCACCCACGTGACTCGTACACCGGCCGCCGTCTCGAGGGGGACGCGGGGGCGCCCCCGGTATAATTGGATACACTATGTTGAACGGGGTTGAATAGACGCCGCGCGCTCGCCGGCGCGATGAGTCGCCCGTTTAACGGGAATATCGTTTAACTCCTTTGAGCGCGATCGATTTTCAGGAGGCGCGCGCGTAACACCGCGTGCAGAAATGGAGTGTAAAATTCGATAACCTTGTTATAATGCGCGTTGCGCGTCCGTCTCCACCGGGTCCCGAGGGCTGATTTTTCAATGAGACTAATATCGGGGCGCCGCGCCACAGGCGTGTAGCGTAGCTCGTGTCTATCGGCTGTTAAAAGCGCCGCGAGCGGGGTAGCAAAAGGGCCACTTCCCGAAATTCGAGAGAACAATCGATACTCGCCACGGGGGAATACCCTCGGCGGCGTCTGCGAGCGAGACGACGGCGACGACGACGACGACCACGCGTAGGCGGTGTACTATCAAACTGACCTTTCGCAATATCGATTAATCAGACGTTGCATAACCGGCATCGGGTGTAATGAGAGACATGCGTCCGTCAAAAGCCGCCGCTAACGTAATTTTAGCCGGCTGCGTCGCACAGTGTTGCATAGTGCTCGTTTTTACAGACAAAAATCGGTTTGAAATCTATTCAAGATATCAATTTAAAATTTTACATATATAAATTCCATACGGAAAATTATGTTTTTCTTATAGTCTCTAGCCAAATTTGGACAATTAAGACAGTGAAGGGAAAGAGAGTATATCTATTGCGGGAAAGTAATATACTATTTACTATTCTTAATATCAATAATATATAATATTATTATATATCATTGTTATTTTATATCATTTAACGTTTTATATCATTTAAGACGAAAACTATACCGAAATGAATTTATACACTATATTAAAATTAAAACTATATAAATAAGTAAAACAAGAAAAAACAAGAAAATTATTAGTAAGAAACAATTTATAAAACAATTTTAATGATAATTATATATCTGTCTAACAAATGTTTTGTCTATCAAGTTCTGATAGGTTCAACTGGAGTCGTTAGCACTCGTGCCCAGATTTTTTCGGTAGAGGTTCTTTTTACGAGACGATTTGTATGCGAAAAATTCCTTTATTACGTTCTTTTCCCTCTGTTTTATCTTTCACATCCCGATTTAGCTCCAAAAGTGTAAATTCCGCCGTTGTAGCGTTAACACAAGTTCGGCGGGCTGTAACTCACGGAATGTAATCATCGTCTTCACGGAACGTAATAATTGTAACGTGCGCTGTACGAGGAGTAGGATAGCTCACGTAAAGAATGACCCGGCAGTATGCAAATTAAGGGAGTATTCGGGTTAAGAGAGCATTACAGAAGTGGCGGCTTCGTGTACGAGCCGCGCGATTTATAGCGTAACGTATATATCGCGCCTCTAAAGGGGCGTGAATCATGCGAAAGACTCTATTTCCTGCCGCGTCCGTGTTAATGCAAGAGACGCACGCTGCAAACATGCATTTCATTTAATTCAATTCGTTTTCTCCCTTTGCTGACGTATATCATCCTCTTAAATTTCGAATTTCTCGCGAAACATTGAGACGCATCCGATTAAGGCCGACGGCGTTATTCCAATGAGAGATTTTCTCGTGATTATTACTTGATTGACGATGAACAAACTACGGTTAATTGGAACTATCAGAGCAGTTAAAATGACGAGCTTGTAATCTATATGTATAAAATAGAATGTATGTCTGTATGTTCTCCATTAACTCCTAAATCCTTCGACAGATTTCGATCAAATTTTGCTTAATTACTCTCTAGGAACTTAATTACTCTGCGGAAAATATAGACTACCATAAAACCTGAACACTACACATCTCCTCTGTCTGATTTTATTCCCTTAACATTTTGTGACAATCCGAGCAACACTGGGCAGCTAACTTTCTACAAAAATTACTCAAATTTATAACAATGCATTTTATATTTTTCATTGACGCGATGAATAAAAGTGGAAATATTAAATAATAATAACTAAATAATAATAAATAAATAAGATTAAAGATTAAATAATACATTAAATAAATATTTTTTTCCACTGCGACTTTTTTCGGAAACCTGTCATTTCGATCGCTCTGATGAAAACGGACCGTTGCTCGTCGGTAGTCCTAATGTTAAAGGTCTCGAAAATGTCTCGGGTGAGAGGCGAGCGAGTCGAAAATACCGAACAAACTTGACTCACCCTGAAGATAATAGGCTGGTTTCAACCTAACCAGACCCTGCACCTGCGAAACGCCCTGCCGTGTAGTATTGTGCAGCTGCAGGGCTGCCAGTAGATCTATACTTCCTCCAGGATCGCTGTCTGTCCTGATTCTCGTGCCCAAAAGCACGGCGCTACCCTCTGTGACCGGAGTCACCGCCGTCTCTTCCTCTTCCTTATTCGTCGTACCAGACACTGAAACATAATCGAATAATTTTACTGGATTGTTCAACGAAACATCATGCTTACGACGCTCTCAAATTCGACCGCGACAACATTTCAGAAATAATCAAGTAAAATGAAGAAAGATTAAAGCCAGGGGCACACAATGCTTGTTTTTGTGCTGGTTTGCTTGCTGGATGGAAATACTTTGTTCTGATTGGTGCATTTCTAAAGCTGGATGGAAATGCATCAATCAAAACAGAGTATTTCCATCCAACAAGCAACCCAGCACGAAAACAAGCACCGTGTGCCGCTAACTTAATATGTATGAGAGATAGTAGATAGCTATTGGTGCGAAATTTAACTCTCACATATAGCACACATACTTTGAACACCTTGATCCGACACACTGGGATTGTTTTCGTTTATTTATATTCCGTAAAAATGCTAATAAAAATATATAAAAAATAGAAACTTTGATCACGTATAATAGCCAAGAATAAGTAAGCTACTTAAGTAATAGCGCGAAAATAGAAATTATGCTACGGTTGCAAGCAAGCTATCAGGATAACCTCGTCGAGGATTGTTACACGTCTGAAAAAAAAAAAGAAATTGCAGAGATTTCAATAAGACAGCCGCGTTGTGGGTGGCAATACTATCCCGACTTCGCAAACTTCCGCGTTCACGCTATGTCGATCAAACAATTCCATACTCTTCCGGTCCAATGCGCGAAACGTCTCTCTGCACAATAGCCAGGACTTGGAATTTGTTTCGTTCGTCGCACAATTATCGCGCTCCATTTTTCCGCGTCCCGACCGATTCGATTTCATCTCCGATTACAGTCGTCGGCGAGGAAAAATCTTCCGGTAGATTGGCCACGAATAATTGAAGCCGAAGAAGGAAATAAAATTCCTCATCGGGTCGGATCAAAAGGACCGCGGGCTTGAGGAGAACGAAGTGCAAAAGGGGAGGAAGAAAACGATCGCGGGCGACGCGGACTTTTCGAAACGGCGGTATTGATCGGCTCTTCACAACTCGACGCTCGTTATCGGCGTTTCCGCGCTTTTCTCCGTTCCGTGAAGCCTTCAACCCCTTCCGCGAAACTAGCCGTCCGCCTCGTAAACAGCCTGTTTTATCTATCGCATCTCCCGCCGTCTATGTGTACGTGAAATCCATTCCGCCTCTATCGCCGCGTCGACTTCACGTTATAATGATTGAAGTCCCGTGGAAAGCTCTTCCGACTCGCTCTCTCGCCCTCTCCTTCTCTCTCGTTTTCTCTATCCTTCTCTCTGTGTACAGAGTCCTCCTCGCTTTGGGGGTGGCTACTTTCGCGACGAACGACAACTTCTGACATTCAGTTACGTGAGACATACGCTCGCCGCGTATCCGGTCTTCTCTCTTAACGTGTACTGCACGACACATTCCTGTTAGTCGATCGTCGAAATGGAAGAGATCGATGGTCAAAATCAATAGGCGACGAGGCCTAGTGTATTATGTTATCTTTATAATTTAGTTCTTTATATATATAATTTATTCATTTGAATCTGCGACTGAGACAACGACGTGTTTGAAGTAAAACTGTGCGAAATGGTACGCGGTTCTGAAGTCGGTTTCTGGAATCGGATACACGCGGCTAAATGCTATTCTCTAGATTGAGTTACACGACTTTAAGCCTTAGGACCTTCGCACACAAATTGACATAACAGTAACGTAAGACATACCGTAAGAATTGACCAATTACGATCGAGTATTCATAAAAATGGCGACCTTACGTTTCGACAATTCTCAACGTGATTGGTCAATTCTTACGATATGTTTTACGTTATGTCAATTTGTGTGTGAAGGCCCTTATGCGTGTACGAATAATGTTTAAAAATCATTATTAACACTCATTATCAATCATAATCAAAGCTATTGTAATTCTACAATTATAATTAGAGTTATTTATGTGATTTTCAATCTTAAGCGTTATGTGTAAGGCTAAAAATTGTGTAACTCTCGATTTAAGGAATAATGGGGCAGCCATGGTATCGTATCAGAAGAGGAAAATTGTCAGATCTTCATTTGTTGAGATTAAGAACGTACCCGTCTTGTCTAATAGGAGAATTATTTTGAGAGGACAAATAATCATTATATTGAAATAATCCTATTAACTCCTTTGACCGACCTTTCAATTTTATTTTTTATGCATTTTTGTTGTATTTGTTGATGATAGAAGTGAAAACATTAAAAAGCTATAAACTGCCCGTAAAACTCAAAATGAAATAATTAACCTAAATATTTTTCGTATTTCTACATTTGTGCCAAATTAAAAAAAAATCGGAGTGTACCTTTTAGATAGATTTACTTGTGAGTAACATTTCACGCAGCTTAAACGTAAAGTGATAAAATTCCGCTAACGTAAAATCGATCGGACATTAATAGCAATGAGGAGACACGGGCATTCCGATCGCGCTAATATTAAATGCTATCCGATTATAAACCGCATTTCCAACGACTGAAAAATTAAGAACTCGCGTCCCCTGCTGGATAATGAAGGCGGATGAATAAAGGAACGATCGGCGGCACGAGCACTCTCTCTCTCTCTCGATCGATCGGTTTCGCCGCGCGATAATATCGAAGGGGTGGCGGACGGATGAGTGGAAATGCGAATGGAAAGGTGAGTCAATGAATAAATCAGCACGTAAACAGTGCTGGTAGCATCGCTCGCCAACAGGAAGGCACGTGTCCAACAGCGATTCTTTTAGATACAGTCACCGAAATCTAGAATGATATTTTTAGCCCGCGGCGAGAAAACACCGGCAGGCAGACTCATATCGATCATTTCATGTCCTCAGGTTTTATTTGCGTACATGTTCACCGCTCCCAGCATAGGAGAGCTCTTCATCTGCAATGTATAAACACACCGGCGCGTCGTGCGCGTCGATACTTAAGATTTACTCCTCGTCCTCCTCCTCCTCGTTTCGTCCACTAAGAGACGACAGGTCCCTTTCACAAAAATATCTTCCGTATCAATACGATTGACACTCTAGCGACTAGTTTTTCTTGCGACTAGCATTGCAGTTAAATTTCTTGTCTGCATCCAGTAACTCCCAAAGAGACTTTTACTGTAAACAACAGACCGCTAGTCTCAAGGAAAAACAGGTTTTCTAGGTTATCAATGATTAATTAATCACAAAATGGTCCGCGTGTATCACGTATCGCAGATGTGGGACTTTGCTCCGTCTCTCAGTCGATTATTCTAATTAACAGCGATTATATACGCGATATTTATGCTAATTAGTTTCGAGTTTAGAGTTTACGTATGAATGCATGAATGGCCGCGTCGGTTTCCTTTAATCACGCGATATATGCGCAAAGGGAATTCTCAGGAGCCAGTTAACTAGCTTGCTTGATTCCTTCCTTCCTTCCTTGCTCCCCTTTGTCCTTCTGTTTTTGCAACACGAAAAAGATGTATAGATAGAGAGAGAGAGAGAGAGAGAGAGAGAGAGAGAGAGAGAGAGAGAGAGAGAGAGAAAGAGAGAGAGGCACTCGTTATCTTAGATCACATCGAGCCAAATCGTCCGGCAAATTAATGGTATCACCGATTCAGTCTCTCCGTCCAAAGTATTCACTCATCTGCCAGCGCATGCCTAACATACTGACTTCCATTCATAGGCGTCATCCTCGTTACACCTCGAATTTCTTATTACTTTTCAATTGCAGCCTAATATAATGATGACTTCGAATCTCGAATCGCGTTTAAATTGATAACTTGATTCCTTCCTTTTTCAATCCGCGAGAATTTACTTTTGCATGCGTCTATATTCGCAATAATAAATTAAATAATTCAGTTCCGCAAATAAAAAATATTATATTGTCATATCCGTATTGTCGTACTTTAATAGTGTTTCGAATGTTACGCTTTATTATCACATTATGTCGCAATCTTTTTTGGTAAGATCGAAACGTCACTAAGATCGTTATTTGCAATTTGATTAGAGAAGCGCGACTTTTGGAAAATGACGCCTATGTGAGTTGCTGTATGTACGGGCTCGTATGTGGACACATACGCGAGATTTCGTATCGTCAGTGGACAGAAAACGCGTAAGTGTCCTGAGACAGGATGACGTCGGGCGTAACGGGATGGAACGGAGCGGTGGCAGACTGCCGGGCGTCGCGACGCCCGGTATCGAACCGTACACGGTGTTATCGTGAAATTCACGAGAGAGATAGAATAGGAGATAGAGAGAGAGAGAAAGAGAAAGAACAAGAAAGCACGCTCGTGTCACGTAGTGTCTCTCCTGGCACGACTGTCACCGTCACATTTTCTGACATCCATCAATAAGTGATTATATTGATATGTGCATCAATTGAAGATGTCGCTCTCAACCTTCGGATACACTCTGGCAATTGTATCATGATCTTATATATCGTAGCATCCTATTCTTAATCTTGTTAATTTAATGAATTTTTATTTTATACTAAACTTGTGTCCAATTATGTCACGCTTGAGTGATATAAGAGTTTCATTATCATATTAATAAAAACCTTAAAAAGTACGAATAATTTTGAATCAATATTCAATATATATATATATATATATATATATATATATCCTCTAAAATCCTATTCTAATATTCTAAAGATATTAGAAATCGTCACGAAAACCTAACTGACTTAAGTCAGTAATCGTACCTTTTTAGTATTGATATCTCTATAGTCATATAGTTAGTTATCTAATTTGTCTTTTCCGACTTCTAATATCATTAGAATACTAGAATAGGATTATAGAATAGGAATATTAATTCAAAATTTGTAGGGCTTTGGAAGTTACGAATATCAGATTCTCAAGATTCACCTATCAAACCGTGTCACGTCTCAGCTGAAACACGACTATAAGTCTACTTAGAAGAAAGATTTATTACTTTGTTTGCGACTCACCCCGGTGCCGTGAGAAGTCGTTGAGCATTAGGCTCTATACAAACCGATATCATGAATATGTGTTGTGGAAAAGACACGTTAGAGTTAGCCACGGAATATTTACAATATCC